TTGTAAAGGTGTCTGCTAGGTAAGGATTAAATTATTACAGTACTATTAGGCATAATACGTAAATAGACACTCAACCTGGCCTTAGATGGCAAGTAAAGAGCTCCAACTTTAAGAGTGTACATCTAAACGCCTCAACTCAACTTGATTCCACTGTGTCAGTTTAACACTCAACTTACAGAATCATAATCTATACATGCATCTCCAAAATTTATGTGTCACGTTAGTGTCGGGTGTCCATGAGACATAGTGGGAAAGAGTTGGAGTGTTTACTTGTTAGTTGGGACTTGTGACCGAGTTAAGGTCTCTAGACGAGACTCTCAATGTTGGAGCTAGTGCTTACTTGCCCGTAGAGGCCAAGTTTGAGTGTCTGTTTATGAATTATTATTATTAAGGTACTAAACTTATTTTTCATTAGGAGGAAATAAATATGCACATAAAGTTCTTGACTGCTGCCATTACTCTGCCTGAGCTGAAGAAGCCTGACACTGGTGAGGACATGGCTGAGGAAGTGCGAGGTATGCTTCAGGAGCTCCAACAGCTCCATTCATTTTTGGATATGAGGTATGATTCTTTCTTACCATCGTGCTACTTGCATTTATGGGTCGCGCTTGTTTAAATATACACTTCCAAGTTGTTTAGGATTTTCAAAATATATCCATTTTGAAAAGTTTCTTTCATGCTAAAAGAATTACATCTGAGGAACTATGGCTTTAGCTCCTGATGTAATCCTTTCTTGAGCCCTTTTCTTTTATAGTAATGTCCTATCGGAAACAACATCTCTACCTTCACAACGTAAGGGGTAAGGCTACTGAAATCGGGGAAGCATTTCAAATTGCTGGAGATCCTCTTTTGTGTGTTAACCTGCGTGAGAATACCACCAGAAAGCTTCCTAATGTCATTCATGTGCAGTTGGGAAAAAACTGCAATATAGAAGACAATTTTGACTTGCTGTTTCCGGCTAGAAATGAGTCACAAGCTCCTAATTCCACAGTTTCGGAAGTCATGACTAATCCGGATGCTACTTCTTCCTCGGATTGTTCTGACCAACCAAAGATTTTGACAATGTCATGTTCTGAAGTCTCTCCTCCGTCGGAGCAGAATCTGCAACAAGTGAATTGGGTCTTGTTTCATGAAGTATCTGAATTTTTTAAGCATATTGCCAGTGAAAATGATGGAACTACCTCGACTTTTGTTCAGAAGATGAAGGTAATCCTAGTTCTCTTTTAATTATAACTTGGAATTTGTAAAGGTGTCTGCTAGGTAAGGATTAAATTATTACAGTACTATTAGGCATAATACATAAATAGACACTCAACCTCGCCTTAGATGGCAAGTAAAGAACTCCAACTTTGAGAGTGTACATCTAAACGCCTCAACTCAACTTGATTCCACTGTGTCAGTTGAACACTCAACTTACAGAATCATAATCTACACATGCATCTCCAAAATTTATGTGTCATGTCAGTGTCAAGTGTCCTTGAGACATAGTGGGAAAGAGTTGGAGTGTTTACTTGTTAGTTGGGACTTGTGACCGAGTTAAGGTCTCTAGACGAGACTCTCAATGTTGGAGCTAGTGCTTACTTGCCCGTAGAGGCCAAGTTTGAGTGTCTGTTTATGAATTATTATTATTAAGGTACTAAACTTATTTTTTTTTAGGAGGAAATAAATATGCACATAAAGTTCTTGACTGCTGCCATTACTCTGCCTGAGCTGAAGAAGCCTGACACTGGTGAGGACATGGCTGAGGAAGTGCAAAGTATGCTTCAGGAGCTCCAACAGCTCCATTCATTTTTGGATATGAGGTATGATTCTTTCTTACCATCGTGCTACTTGCATTTATAGGCCGCTCTTGTTTAGATGTACACTTCCAAAGTTGTTTAGGACGTTCAAAATATATCCATTTCGAAAAGTTTCTTTCATGCTAAAAGCATTCCATCTTAGGAACTATGGCTTTAGCTCCTGATGTAATCCTTTCTTGAGCCCTTTTCTTTTATAGTAATGTCCTATCGGAAACAACATCTCTACCTTCACAACGTAAGGGGTAAGGCTACTGAAATCGGGGAAGCATTTCAAATTGCTGGAGATCCTCTTTTGTGTGTTAACCTGCGTGAGAATACCACCAGAAAGCTTCCTAATGTCATTCATGTGCAGTTGGGAACAAACTGCAATATAGAAGACATTTTTGACTTGCTGTTTCCGGCTAGAAATGAGTCACAAGCTCCTAATTCCACAGTTTCGGAAGTCATGACTAATCCGGATGCTACTTCTTCCTCGGATTGTTCTGACCAACCAAAGATTTTGACAGTGCCATGTTCTGAAGTCTCTCCTCCGTCAGAGCAGAATCTGCAACAAGTGAATTGGGCCTTGTTTCATGAAGTATCTGATTTTTTTAAGCATATTGCCAGTGAAAATGATGGAACTACCTCGACTTTTGTTCAGAAGATGAAGGTAATCCTAGTTCTCTTTTAATTATAACTTGGAATTTGTAAAGGTGTCTGCTAGGTAAGGATTAAATTATTACAGTACTATTAGGCATAATACGTAAATAGACACTCAACCTGGCCTTAGATGGCAAGTAAAGAGCTCCAACTTTAAGAGTGTACATCTAAACGCCTCAACTCAAATTGATTCCACTGTGTCAGTTGAACACTCAACTTACAAAATGATAATCTACACATGCATCTCCAAAATTTATGTGTCACGTTAGTGTCGGGTGTCCATGAGACATAGTGGGAAAGAGTTGGAGTGTTTACTTGTTAGTTGGGACTTGTGACCGAGTTAAGGTCTCTAGACGAGACTCTCAATGTTGGAGCTAGTGCTTACTTGCCCGTAGAGGCCAAGTTTGAGTGTCTGTTTATGAATTATTATTATTAAGGTACTAAACTTATTTTTCATTAGGAGGAAATAAATATGCACATAAAGTTCTTGACTGCTGCCATTACTCCGCCTGAGCTGAAGAAGCCTGACACTGGTGAGGACATGGCTGAGGAAGTGCAAAGTATGCTTCAGGAGCTCCAACAGCTCCATTCATTTTTGGATATGAGGTATGATTCTTTCTTACCATCGTGCTACTTGCATTTATGGGTCGCGCTTGTTTAAATATACACTTCCAAGTTGTTTAGGATGTTCAAAATATATCCATTTCGAAAAGTTTCTTTCATGCTAAAAGCATTCCATCTTAGGAACTATGGCTTTAGCTCCTGATGTAATCCTTTCTTGAGCCCTTTTCTTTTATAGTAATGTCCTATCGGAAACAACATCTCTACCTTCACAACGTAAGGGGTAAGGCTACTGAAATCGGGGAAGCATTTCAAATTGCTGGAGATCCTCTTTTGTGTGTTAACCTGCGTGAGAATACCACCAGAAAGCTTCCTAATGTCATTCATGTGCAGTTGGGAAAAAACTGCAATATAGAAGACAATTTTGACTTGCTGTTTCCGGCTAGAAATGAGTCACAAGCTCCTAATTCCACAGTTTCGGAAGTCATGACTAATCCGGATGCTACTTCTTCCTCGGATTGTTCTGACCAACCAAAGATTTTGACAGTGCCATGTTCTGAAGTCTCTCCTCCATCGGAGCAGAATCTGCAACAAGTGAATTGGGCCTTGTTTCATGAAGTATCTGATTTTTTTAAGCATATTGCCAGTGAAAATGATGGAACTACCTCGACTTTTGTTCAGAAGATGAAGGTAATCCTAGTTCTCTTTTAATTATAACTTGGAATTTGTAAAGATGTCTGCTAGGTAAGGATTAAATTATTACAGTACTATTAGGCATAATACGCGTAAATAGACACTCAACCTGGCCTT